CTCGAATCTCTTCGCAAAAAAAAACGAGATAGGTTTTCGTGACAAAATCGAGACAAAACTGTTTATGAACTTTTACAGGGCGAGTCCAAGATGTCCATACTGGATAGATCTTTGACTTCGACCTCGATCAAGCATCATTCTCATGCTCAATTTTTAATGCTGAATCTAAAAAACGTACTTTCGAATAAATACCTTTTTTTTTCTTCTTTTTTTTCTCTTCAAAGTATAAATTATTTTTTTTTTATTTTGCTTCGTCACCCAGAAAATTCATTTTCCCTAGATCAGGAGCGAAGAACTCGGAATTCTGACTCTAATTCACAATTGTCTAGATTAGAACTCATATTTTATGCAATACAAATATCATATTCGGAATCAGCGTCAAAACCTGACTCGAATGATTTATATTTCAAAATTTTTCGTAGATTTCCATATTTTGGTGAAAATCTCAGTAAGTTTTCGACGTAAAAATTCAAAAAAACTTAAAATGGTCAGATAGAAAAAAGATCCATTCAACCATAAAAAGAAAGACATTTAAGAATTACTTTTGACTTCAGCCTTGATCAAACATTAGATTCATACTCAATCTTTAATGTTAAAGCTGAAAAAAATACTTTTGAAATGTTCGAAGAACGAAAAAGAAAAACTTTGAATGTTTTGAAACCGAAGCGTTTTTCGAAAACTTAGACCCTTCAAGTATTTTCAATTTATTGACATGAAAATAATTTGTTTAAACGTTAAAGCATATATTTTCTTCTCCAGATGGACTCGCTCTATCCAACCATATATAAAAAATGCAATAATAAAAACCTACTGAATTTACGAATTTCCGGCACCTTATCAAAGAAGAAAAATAATAAATAACAATAACATTTAAGAGCATATAACCTAAATTTTATTGTAGTGATGTGCTAAATGAAATATTTAAGTTTTTTCCTTCTATATGTGGAAAGAAGAAAAGGGCAAAAACGCCAAGGATCCAACGTCCAATTGATCGTGAAATGGAGCTTATAAATATTTTTATTTTTAATTAAACGTTCCTTATCTTGAGATCAAGACAAAGTTGTTCTCTATTGTGTATGTGTGAGATGTATGAATGGAATGAAGGCGTGAAAAAGAAATAAGTCGATTATGAAGATTGATTGTATGAAATTAGTTTTTTTTTTCTTTTTTTATTTAACGAAAATTATAACTATGATAAAAGAGAGATTAATAAACACTCGAACTATTACAAAAATGTCATCGTCGTGCATCTCAACAAAAAGATAAAATAATCGCTATAAAAAAGACAGAGTAAAGAAGAAAATGTTTTATGAACACCAAAAAATAAAATGATTGTTGAGAAGTAAATGTTTTGATTTGTGAAATGAACAAAAGACCTAAATAGTACTTGGAGCATCTGAATATAATCACTGTTCAGTTAAGTAGGAGATAAGTGAATCTAAACGTCTGCATAAGGAAAAGTAGTTTGATGACGCACTTTATAAAACGAAGACGATAAGAGAGTATAACTTAAAGTAGAAAGAAAGTATAAGTTAGATGTTAAGGATCTTAATTAATTATTTAGAATATAGATTAAAAAACGATCTTATCTTGTTAAAAAAACTATCATAATCTTCATAAATATCATTCTTCCTAATCAAAATTTTCAAAAAAATTAGGACCAAGATTTAAGAAGAAACATATTGAGACAAAATACATTTGGTGTGATCTATTTTGCAAAACGAGTTCGAGAAAAATTTTTTTTGTAAGTCATTCATAAGCATTATCTAATAATGAATATCAAATATCTTTTCTGAAGCTTGGTTAATTACTAAGATGTGTTTTACGTTTTGTATTAAAAAGAAATATATGAAAAATGTGCTGTATGAATCTATTGATGCAAACTTCATTTTCATTGATTTGAATCAAAAAAAAAAAAAATGAAATATTCGACACGGTCTGAATGCATAGTGAATGACAAATATATGCGTCAATGATTTATTCATATCTTAGTAACTAACTGGACCTTAGAAACAATATTTGATATTAATTCTTAGATAATACTTATGAATAACTTACAAAAACAAATATCTTCTCAAACTCATCTGTAAAAATAAGTCATGCCAAATCTGATTCGACTTTATATGAAGCGTGAAATTTATTCTACAAAATATAAATAAAGGTGTTTCCTTGTCATTCAAGTAAAGAATGAACATTTCTTTTTGTTATATCTACAACACAATGGAATATATAATAGTTTAGTGAAGTAGGAGATTTTATCTCGTACTGAAAAAAAACAACAAGAAAAATTGATGTTTTACGATTATTCAACCATTTGCTGTTTTAAAAGAAGAAAAATATAATAGACAGAGTACATCTTAACACTAACAGAAAACAGTAATAATTGAAAAAACAGGTAAAATAACGGGTGGTCACAATTAAACTGCTTATCAAATCTTTTTTTTTTAAAGGGTTTTACAAATCAATCTTCGTTGTAATGTGAAGAGACAGAAAATTTCGAGCTGATTTCAGACATATGTTATACTTAAAAACGATCAAATGTTTACCTTAAATGCGATATATACATAAAATTTTCTAGCTTTTAATATTAAATTGAAATTTTTTGATTGATATTGACTTAAGAAAAACTGATACAAAGATTATTGTAGTACAATTTAATCTGAACTGACCGCTGATACAATAATCTAAAAGCTTGGGCAAAAATTTTTGAGCATTCATATGTACAGAGGGCTGAGTGCAGTACCATTTGGAAGAAAAAGTGTCATCCAGTCTAAACATGATATATTTATCTTAACGCACGAGACTATAAACGGTTAAGGCATATATTGATAAAATCGGATAACAAGACTATATTTGACGAATATATTGAAAATGAAAAACATCATTCGTTCTTTAAATGAATATTACATGAAACATTAAAAAGATAAAAATCAACAAAAAAACTACAGATGAGAATAAATCAAAGCAACTGCAAAGGTTGTAAAATTTCTGCTATTTTTTTGCGAATATTTGCTAAAGATTATATGGTCGTTAGACTTTTATTCATTAAATACACTTCAATCATTGAAATATGTTTTGATCTTTGCTCATTGCTCTCATTAAAAATTTAATGTTGAAGCCAATTGATACTTGCAGACAATTATTTTTACAAAAAAATAGATAAATCTACTAATTTACTCTCATCAGTAAGAGGAAACAAAACTCAGCGAGATAATTCTGTTGGTTTTTTCATTATTAATACAACACAGTTTTTGCTTAAGTGGACATGTTAGCCGATCAGTTATCAACAAAAATGAAAAAGTATTTCAAAGTGTTTGTGTTTTCAAATGTTTCATAAATTCATCTTCAAAAGACCTAAATAAATGCTTTTCACGAGAGTACCATAGTAAATTTTGAATTAATTTACAATTTTATCAATCTACAGTTCATTCTTCATAATTGTGGCTGTCTCTTGACGTAACAACGGTATTTTTCTACAGCAACGTGTTACTTAGCAAGTATTACTTAAATAACTGTAATATTGACTTAATCTGTTTACTAAAAGCGTTTTACAACAGAAAATTCGATCACATACATATCCAGGAAGAGATCCTTGCATTTCTTGACACAATCCTACTAGAATTCTTCTAAAAATTTATAGGACATTGGGTATTTTAGAAATTGATATTATCAATTTCTGAAATTAGAAGTGCTTTTCAACTGTGAAACTTTAGAATGTTTTTCTGATACGATAGCTTTTTATTTAGTCGGTTATAGTATCGATTATCGTCTAACTCAAGACTTATCTTTTACTGACTGTGATCAAAATTTCACTACAATTTACTTTAAAATTAAGGCAGCAAAAAGATGTCGCCTTATAGCGGCAGATTTATTATCACTTTTAAACAGATAGATATAAAGTTGTAAGAGGTGTCTCGATTTCTCTAGAATTTCTACAAGTTTTTTCCTTTATCTGTTTATCACTTTTATTCTTATTACTTTATAACCATATAATAATAATTAAATAAAAACCATCTAAGAAATATTAAATAAATCATTCTCAAACATGACAAACAAAGTTGTCTGATAGATAAATAAGTTATACAATATCATCGCAACATTTACTTTCAATTTTTATACAGTACTGTATTTTTCATAATTATCAAACAAATCTTCTGTTCTTTAAATAGAAACTTTCTCCTAATCTTACATACTATAAGGCTTGAACGTAGTAGTGCTAATCTAAATGCTAGTCTTTTTTTTTTCTTTTTATTGATGACTTAAAGGTAGTACTTATCCTAGAATAGCAACGATGATGTAGAAACACTTTAAAGCTTTATCAAATATATTTTATGGTAAGACTAGTATATACGTACCCTGTTGTTCGATAACAGTTGCTGATAATGTCAATCTATTTTCATACAATTTTTGGGCTTGATGACAAGTGTTCGAAAACAATGGTGTTCGCTTATGTTTCGATAATACATTCAAGGGATTTGACATTAAAAAATGTTTAAAGAGAAGTGAGAACAAAAAAAAAATAAACAAATGACAAGTGTGTGAACTTATATTTTGTCACATGAATACTGCGAACACATTATACACAATGTCGATTTTTTTCTTCTTCTTCTGCTGTATATGTACGCTTGTTCAACGATTATAAAATTCTAATGACATTTTTCTTCATTTTTTTCTCTCTCTTTAAAGTCAAATAGTTGGTAAACAATTTTATTATGGCTATCTTTCTTTCAACCATAATAGGTGTGTAATAAAAAAAAAGTTGCTTTGACAATATACTCACACTGAAATAAGTAAATAAAACGACGATGGACAAGCAACAATAACAAGACGGTAGGTGGTGTTTTTTTATTTTGTTCGTTATTAGAAGTCACAGAAAATTACGCAACAAAAAATAGACAGTTTTTTCACTTAATACATGAAGTTTTTATTTGAACAAGTTTTTTTTCATCTTTTGTAGCATAAAATAGGGCAATACAAAAAACACGAAATATCTTCGATAACTACCATATTGCACCTTGAAAGTGTTCATGTACAAATTTTTTTCTCATAGATAAGGGTTGATCCACTCCAGTAAGGTCATCCGAATAAATATCTTGAGTCTCGTCATCCTCAGATGCTTGTGCTGCTAATTCTAGTTTCTTCTTTAATAAATTCTACATAAAAAATGATGTTATTAAACATCATAGTTACATTCTATTCATAGTACAAATGTTTTTACCTGATATTTATTAAAATCGTCAACAGTCATAATTGGTTTAGTACGTCGAAATCGCCATTTTGTAATAGCTTTTTTTGCTGCTCTTTCACTCGAAAATGGTTGTTTAAACTCACTTTCGGTTGATATCTAAACACAACTTATATAGTATTTGGAATATAGCAAATAAGCCATCTTTATTTATACACGATATTTCGTAAGAAAATTGATATGTTTAGCCCGTGTACTATCAACCAGGGTCTATTTAGACCCTGTTATCAAAAAAACAAAAAAAATGAGATAAAAATTTTTTTTGTATGGATCGAAGTATGAAATGCATTCTATTTGTTGTGTCTAAAATAGGCTTAGGAGTACAAGGGTTAAAAACTAGATTTTTAATTATATCGGGTGGCCCAGATAAAATCGGATACTTTCATTCGTTGTTTTTGAGACACTCCCCAGTAGTCCAAAGAGTTTATTCTAAGCTCAGTCGATAGCCAATTGAATTCTCTACAAAACCTGCTATTTGAATCTCTGATAGCATTTTTCTCGTTTGAGCATCATTCAAAATATTGAATAGTACTGAGTTGCCTAACTACGACATACTGAAAATAGAAAAATATTAGTCTTGATGGAAAAACATATTCCATAACAATTTCGAAAAAACCAAAAGATTCCCCAGAAAATTCTGCATCTTCTCACATATTTTTCGAAATCTTACAGTTAAGTCTTCTAGGAAAATTTCTCTGTGCAAAAAACTGACAAATCAAAAAAAACCTAATTTTTGAACCTACTTTTCACAGAGTTTAGCTTTTTTACTATAAAGGCAGTAAAACGTTCTGAATCCAGGATTTTAGTCTTATTATCTTACACAGAATTAAATTCGGCATCGTTTGATATATAAACAAAGTTTCTCAATTGAAACCAATTAATTTGAAAAAATTGAAAAGCCGGTTGAGAACTAATTATAAGTCCAGCTGACGTAGCAGAAACATTGTATGAAGTTGTACAGAAGTGAGATCGATAGAGCACAAAATTCTCTATCTATCTACGCAGATAAGTTAACTATTGAACCTCAGACAATGGGCTAAAAATCTCAAAAAAAAGAGACGACAAAAACCCTTTTTTTCACCAATATTTTCAATAGTGCTCAGACGAGAAAAATGCTATCAGAGATTCAAATAGCAGGTTTTGTAGAGAATACAATTCTCTATCGATTGAGCTTAGAATAAATCCTTTGGACTATTGGGCAGTGTCTCAAAAACAACGAATGAAACTGTCCAATTTTATGTGGACCACCGGATAGTAACAAATTCTCCATCATCCTCTATTAAGCATATATATTAAGATAACTCTTCGTCTTGCAAAACTGAAATATAATACAACAGTACTTACCACAATAACAATAAATAATGACAATAAATAGAATATAGTACTGTTCATCATTTTAAATTAGTCAATCAAAGAGAACAACTAACTGTTAACTGTTTCTACTAAATGGCCAGTTGATCTTGTTGAAAAACAAAATTTCTCTACATATATATAATTGTAAGTCTCATGAGAAACCTCTTCTATAATCATACAAATCATTTTTGAAATAAATTTCTCAATGGAAAGCTGAAAACGACCACCAACATATTAATTACGGTAAAACATTTTTATTTAGGAAACTTGTTTAATTATCTCATCAAGTAACTGCACGCACAATTCAGTGACTGATTTCTTATTTTTTTTGTGTTTATTTTGATCGTGTGTATTATTAATACCACCTACGAATAAAGATATAGCGTTTATCTATTGTTTATGAAATATATAATAATAGTATCGTTCTCACAATAGTGTGTTAAGTGAATTAAAATTGATAGAATCTATACTATTTTTTCAAATGTAAAATCAGTGACGTACAACGAATAGTATGTCGCAATCAGAGGAGACATTTTTATTCTCAGCTATGCTGTTCTATGATAATTGTTGACGCTGTCTTTTCGTAATATTTATTCCAAGACCAATACTATTACAAATATCTATATCAATGACAAAAAAGTAGGAAAAGTAACTGGATAAATATCGGCTCTCGGAACTAGAGCCTAAAGTTGTCCATCTATAAATTAGAGTATTGATGTATCGCTACCGTTTCCGCATGAAATTAGGTGACCCGTACAAGTAATTTAATGTAACAGTTTGTGCATTTTATACACTCGTAGAATTTCTGCTACATTCTACGCGTTATCCTGTTTTTTATACGCATAAATTTGTCAAAAAAAAATTATAAGTATTGTACCATTACGCACTCTTACCAACAATGTGTAATCGTGTGTAACACGAACGTATTCTGGTGCAAGAAAACATTCATTTGTTGCAAGTAAAATAACTGTCTATCATTCAACAACTCTATTTCTTCATTTGTCATTAATATAAATGTGTAGAGAGTTTAGGGTTTTTAATAGCAGCTGTTGAATCTATCGATTGTTAACCGACATTCCGTCGAAGTGTTTGACCTTTAGAAATTTAAAATTTCATTACTGGAAAATAGAGTCAACATCAATTTTGTAGAGAATTAAATTGCACATCATTTGAAAACAGATTGAATAATCTATGTTGTATCTACGCTGAAATATTCGAAAAACATAAGATGTTGCAAAACTTCTGTGACACCCGGTAGTGGTCTAATATAAATATATTAAGACCGGACGTACAAGAAAAAGAAAGCTCTTAATGAATATATATGACGAATAAAAAGTTATTTTCTTTTATTGTCGTACTCTTTTATTATTTGTACTCTACTACAAGGATCAAACGTCCTTGATCGAGAAAATCTATCTAGAAAAACGATCAACGCAACCGATTTAATAGTATTGTTGAGACTAACAGTGTGTTTGGCAACGGAGAGAGACTCTCTCATCAATAAACGATATTCTATCGGATCTTGATCAATCAATCGCCATTCATCCAAATGCATTGAAGTCTCTTCGCAACGTTTGTTTATATAGTAAAAGTTTTGGAGATTACATGTTTAGGATGAGCAGATCTGTCAGATTCATCAAATATAGCGGATATTTTTACTCATTTTGTTAATCTGTTTTTTTATAAGAGCAGTCGCTACAGCTTCCACCTGTCTCTAAGGTCTTCCATTAAACATCGTTGACTCTTAAGAATTAGTAGTAGCTGCTGTAAAAGAAACAGAAAATGTTTGAATGCTATTAAAAATATTTAAACTAGTGTTCGATGTTGTATATAATCAATTCAAATTGGACAACATAGAATGATCATTCGAAATACCATGTTCTCCAAAACGTTGACATGTCCGCCGTATTTGTCTTGCTCATTTATCTAGCGTCATAGTCAACACACGGAATGTCGTAACTAATATTTGATTGTACATGTTTTTCTATTTTTCTATTTCAAGCCCATAAGGGTACCTCTCCAAATATCCCCTTCTTTTTTTTTACGAAATGTAGTTGGTTATAGGTAATCGATCATGTTGATTTCGAATATGATTTCATTTAAACCCATACGCTTTCCCTAGGAGTCATTGCATGAGAAAGACGACTGTTTCTCACAGAAGCGTGCTCAGTGCCTATTTTAGATTATTTTCTAAGTAGCCTCACCTTGTAGAGCATGGTCGAAAATCTATAAATCTAAATTTGTAGGCTTCCCGAACTTTTCATGTAGATATGGAATTTTTTCGACTGGAGTAAAGTTCGAGAAATTATACGCGTGAAAAACGTACATTTCGTTTTCCTCGTGAACGAGAAGAGATGAAACCGCGATTTTTTCAGGATAGGTAGTACTTCATGTCTACCATATAATGACTTACAAATATCACGTATACCTCTTACCCCACACATTACAGCAAAGACCGAAACGGAGCTTGATGGAGCACTTTTGTGAGCGAACGATCTCGTTATAATGAACTTACGTTGGAGTCGAACTACTTGTAGTAGATAGTACTCTCAGTGTACTATCTGAAATCATCGTCAAAAGTTTGGGATCAGCAAATTTGTTACAGAAAGTTTTGCGACCAAAGTCGAAGTAAACGGTCGGCATAAGCATTCACTTTTCTGTCTTAATGAAAAATCTTAATGAGAAATCTTTTAATAACAAAATTTTCCTAAGGACCTTATGGATCGAATAAAAAACTAAAAATAAGAGGGAAGGGTAGCTATTTTTCTGCTAAATGTCCAAACAGATTTTTGATTTTGTTTCTTCGATTTCTCGGTGACTATAAGTGATAAGCCAACGATATTTTTATCTTTTTTAGCTGAGAATATGATAGATCTATGGTACAAATTTCAGCTCTTAAACAAGTACCGTTCGCGGGAAAACAGCGTTTTACTCAAAAAATGTCCCAACAGATTTTTTTGTATCAGAATGTCCTGACAGATTAGAATGATACATATTTAGAGAAAATATAATTTGATTTCACCTTTGACTTTTCTCGAACTGAGAGACGTTTATACTTATCATATATCTACCTATTGATATATGATAACAATATATAAATACTATATATTTTAGAAATTTTATTCTTTCGACCATGCTCTACAAGATGAAGCTACTTAGAAAATAATCTGAAATGATCATTGAGCTTGGCTTGTCGTGGCTTATGTGCAGTGGCTTCTTGCCGGTTTCTGGAAAATCGGTTTTCCAGAAACCTTGAAAAATCCGTAAAGCTTTTTTCTAAATAAGTCGCGATTGTAGCTCACGAAATTCTAATCAAAATGAGACATCACCCAGCTGTACACCACCTTTCTTTGCAAAGTTATAGAGTTTACAAGAAAAGTCTTCCTGAAATTCCTTTTTCCTTTTTCTCTCTGTAGCGATTGTAGCCCTCGTAAGTGCAGCTTGTACTAATGAAGGTGGTTTCAGAATAACAATCAATTCAGTGTTCGGTCAAAGAGTTTCAAACTGTATAAAATTCTTTCAACCATGAGTGAAATTACTTGTGACGTTCTTAATCAACGGAACTTGAATAAATAATTTCTTTCGATTTAAGTCATTTGTTTTCACGGTCGAACTAGAAGATGAGTGAGAAGAATAGCACTCAAGTCAAGTTTCAGATCAATTAATATATTGACAAATGATTTTTCTTTGAAATTCGTCTAATCATTTTTAGTTCATCATTCGGAAGGAGATAAGTTGAACAGATTCGCAAATCGCGATGTGCTATTTCCCTAATGATGGAACGTTTATATGATATAGTGGTAAAATGCCTTTAAAGATTTACATTTATCATATTTACTGTATAATTTATCGAAAATCAAATTAATTGTATATTGAAGAAAAACCTTAAAAAGATTCTTGACGTCGAAAGAACACATTTTCATCACTAGTGATTGAGAATGATTTAATTTTTTAACAGAGTCCGAGAATTAAAATAAATCTTTGAATGATTTAGGCGTCTTTCATAAATGAGATAATCGATTATTAATTAGTCGCGCAAATCCATAATTGAATGTCTCTATGACAGTATAGAACGTAGCAGCCGATTGTAAGCTTTGTAATTTATTTACCGAATCGCATTTTACCACCATTTTTCATATAAAGTATTTTTTACATTTAAACTTGTCAATATTTCTACAATAGAATCAATAAACGCCGGTGGTCCACAAATGTATGCTTTGACAGGTTTAGAAAGCCATTGAATGGCTTCATTTATTTCAGTTTTTGTTATACGACGATAGTTCACGTTTGTATCTGATGATGTCATTTCACGTGTAACAAAATATTGCGTTTGAACAACATTTTTGTCTTTATAACATTCGTTTTCAATTTCACTTTTAAACACAAGTTCATCGTTTGAACGTGCTGTATAAAGAAATTTCGTCCGATAAGGAGCAAGTTCATTTGTGATATTTGATTTTAATATATCACAGATATGTCTTAAAATAGAAACAATTGGATTTACACCAACACCGGCACATATGAGGAGAACAGATTCTTCTCCATTGGAATTTTGATAATAAAAATCGCCACCAGATTTAACACCAATTTTCTCTCCTATTTTACAGTGTTCATGCATATAATTTGTTGGAGGATATTCTGAATTTTTGATGGCTAATTCAATCTGTTTTGAACATTTTTGATAATCATACGGCGAATTACATATTGAATATCCGGTGATGATCGATGTAATCGAAGGAGGAAAATAAAAGTCTAAAAACTGTCCAGGTCTAAATGTAAGTTTTTGTTGAGAGCCATTATCATTAATCGATAAACGAAATCTTTTTATTGTTGGTGATAATGGTTCAATTGATTGTACAGTTGCTTCATACAATGGGATACCATCATTATCGGTCCCGAATGATTCTAGACGATTTGAACTCATAAAGTGAAAATTTTTAACTTTAAAGTATTTTGACGATGAAACAAATAGCTTAAAACATTGAAACATATAAACATATAATTTATTAGAATACACGAATCTATAACATTAAACAAGAGATATTGCAAGCTATTTGCTAAATTTTTGAAAATTCAATATTTCATCACTAAAAACGTCTATCTTTACATGTAGTTGAGGATATACGATGGTAAGTTTTTCTACAGTTGAACATCCGATCAATTATACCACAGTATAAAATGTATAGTACAATGTTTCATTTCCATTAAAGGATTGCTCTTATAAACATTCCTCGCATACACATTTATTTATCTTGATTCAAAGAGCTGAAATGTTGTTTATTCCTTTCTAATCTACAGTTAGAATATGAATGACCTCGAATATTCATGTTGTCATTTATTACCGAAATAAATTTATAATATATACGAAAAAGAAAAACAGTGAATCTATTCTAATGTTATTTATAAATAAACATAAAAAGATAAAGTGAAAACATGATTTGCCTAAGTATTCCATAAGGTACCACGGATGTATACTGTTTTTGGTAATTACAATGGCTGATCTAATAAAGTCACAGATACATTTAACTACATGACATAACCTTTTAGTCTCCTAAGTTAGACATCCTTTTGAGTAGAAGTCTTCTCTCTTCAATAATATGGACCCTAAATTACCCTTCGTTTTATAACTAGACTAGAAAATCACATTCTCAAGAGTGACAATACAAGCAAACAAAACCATAAAATTTGATTACAATACAAATAGAAAAACAGCAAGCATTTCCTATTTGTTGATCTCAGCCAAAACAAACACTAAAACTAAGGAAACTCCATTTTAGTGACTCTGTTATTGAACAAACTTAATGGACGATCAAACTTCAGTTGAACTCAGTGCAGGTGTAGTCGTATGATGGCTACGACTCTGTTGTTCATTAATAGCGAGCAATGGTCGGCTAGTATCCATTACAGATGTTGTTCGTGTTAATTTTTTAAGTAAATCTTGATCAATATGATTATCATTTCCATTTGTTAATAAACAAACATTTGTCATTGACATAGATATTGTTGAAAGACGTTTTACATGTTTTAAAATATCTTTTACTTTTGTCGATTTAATTCGAGAATAAACAGTTTCATTACGTTGAGATGAAAGATCTGTTCGACAACCTTTGTCAATTAATAATTGAACAATTTCACTATTATCACGATCAACTGCCCAATGTAATGCTGAAACAAATGAATTATAATCATACTGTCTAATGTTATTCTCGAGTGGAAAATATAAAACTTACCTGTCCATCCTTGTTTATCCGTATCATTCATATTACAATTGGATTCTAATAGAACAAGTGCCACACTCGGATGATTATGATAGGCAGCTGTTAAAGATAAAGCGACAAAACATTCTAATTATTGTTGAGAAAAAATATGAATACATACCGTACATCAAGGGTGTAAATTGATCATTATCGATCTTATTCACATCGGCACCGGCTTCAATTAACATACAACATATTTCAGCTAACATTGGTTCAATGTCAACAGAAGAGGGGAATGGCGGTGGAGGAGAACGACTAAAGTAAGAAAATAAAATGGAATAATTAATCTAATGACGAATATAGGCTTCTTCGTAATTATTATAAATATACATTACCATAATTCATGTAATGCTGTTCTTCCTTGTTCTGTTTGAGCGTCAATATCAGTTCCAGCTTCTAGCAATGTCAAAATAATATCAGGATGAGCCCAATAGCAAGCTTTCATCAATGGTGTCCATCCTAGTTTATCTTTGAGTAGAAAAAGAGTAATTATCATTAAAAAACAAAAAAAATGAATATTATTTTGCAATTTTACCTCTTGCATTAATTTCACTACCAGCTTTTATTAATTTTTTTGCTATTTCTGTATAACCCCGTTGGGCTGCGTGATGAAGTGGTGAGGCGTCACGAGAATCTTTCACTTCAATTTTGGCATTGTTACGTAGTAATATTTCCACCACTAAATCATGTCCATTCGCTGATGCCTAAAACAAATAGCCAATTGATTGTATCAATTCATTAGTTGAATAAATTTTTCATACAATTAACAATGGTGTCGATTGAGTTTCAAAGGATAGCCAATCAATATTAATTGTATGATAAACACGATCATTTTCCAACATTTTTTCAACTAAATGAGCTTTTCCCAATCCACACAAATTGTAAAAACGTTCATTTCGACTATCGATATTTCCCATTTTTTCTTTAAAAAAAAAGTAAATAAAACATTATATTCAGATGGAAGTAATAACTAGTGACATAACATACTGATTTTGTTTTGTTTTCTTTTGTGTTATTATGAAACAGATATAGAGATGGATGTGCGTTCAAACGAATATTCTTCTTCTACTCATTTATTGGACACTTGAACAATCATCACGAGTAAAAAAAGAGATAGAAAAACAACATATCTATCTGAAAGACAAGTAGATAAAAGATATGTGTTACCAACAATGAAGGCGAGAGGAGAAAAAAAGTACCATTATAAGTAGAGATATGAGTGAAGCACAAAGATGCATTATGCAAAAATGAATCAAGAAAAATATATACCATCTAAAGGATTAGTTTCCCTCGGTGATATCTAACAAGATTAGTAATACCATCCTCATTTTTCTACTCTTTTACTTTTAATCATTTATTAATAATTAAAACCCTCTCCAAAAATATTAGTTTAGTAACTCAATATTAATTTTAAACTTCAAACATTTAATACATTTAAAAATAAATATCGTTTATATTGTGAGATTAAATTTAAAATTCAAAAAATCGTATAACAGTCGCTACACATTCAATTCACATTCATATAAATGGTACTTCAACTTTTGTTTCTAAAAACGAATAATCGATTTTACTATATGATAGTTAATAACCGATTATCAAATCATATATCTTCAGCCATCTTTATTGAATTGTTCACTGAAAAATTATTACTATTAAAAGACGAACGATAAGTAATGCTTAACATTTCACTCACGACATTTGATCGGACACTGTAATACTAATCTGTGAGTTTAATCATAAGCTCAAGTTTTGTCATAAAATGAATTTTCTTTTAACAGATAATCTTCAATCTAAATGCATTTTATTATTTTTAATCGAAAAACCATGTATTATCGTCAAACATGTATGTTTTTTTATTCCTTCTGCCATTTATCACTTTGTGTATGTGTTTCTCTGTGTATTTCTTTTTTGCAACATATTTCCTTTTCTTTCTTTTTTTCTCCTTCCAATAACGAACAATGAACTGTATAATATTTGAAGATTTCCTCGGTTTTTTTTAATCCCACTCGGTTGCTTTTACCTGTGCATTATTAAATTCGTCTAATATTTCACACATGTTCTTCTTACATTTTTCTTTCCATCAAAAGATGGATGGCCTTACTGTGCTCTTTTTCTTCTTTTTTTTTTTCAATCACGTTTCTGTATTCATAGATATAAATTAATATCAAGGGAGGAGTCTTGCTCTTCATTCGAAAAACGTAGAACAACGAGAATGTTCTCTTAATTATAACCTAACTGAAAAGAGAAGAACATCATTATTATCTAACAAGTGCAATACATTTAACTTCATTAATAAAAACACTTAAAAAAACAAAAAAAAACCTAACTATCAAAGGTCATTATTGACCTTGATTTTCATTTTTTTTTTTTAAAGTAATTTTAAAACTACACTACATATATTCTTCTTCTCGACTATGTCAGAGTGGCAAACTATTAACAAAAAATCAATCATTACGTTTTAGAATAGAAAAATGTATATATTTATAAAAATTTGGCACTTGACATATATTCGACAATATTTTATTTTTAATTACCTATATAATGATCATTAAAATAACGATGACTAAACACAGCTGGGAAAAATAGTTGAATACATTGAAGTACTACTTTGAAACAATATCTAGAGTAGGACAGCTTGAAGCGGAAGATGTCCCATTATGATGACAAGAATAGTACCATTTCCAGCATAATAAAACATACAGCAGAAGATTGAAAAAAAAAAATAAAACAAAAAAAAACAGGTAAACATGTGAAAGCGACGTGATCAAAACAAAATAGAAAAAGATCGATTATAACTTTTTCTTACATCCGTGTTCAATTATCCAAGTTATGTAACAAGATTATGTATATATTTCTCTATGTATGTGCAAGGATTTTTTTATACTTCTCACTTCATTTGTCTTTATTGTCTTGGAAAACGAGTCAACTTGAAGGCCGATAATGTCAAAATGAAGCACATAGACATACACAGTTTTATTTTATAATCGGGAAAAGGAGCAGAAGAAAAAAAGAAAACAGTTTGATTGATCTTTTTTTTTATGTTTTGTAAAAACGGAAACTATTTGGTACATAGTAAATTTGTAAAAACGGAAATATTCGAACGATCGTGTTGTTTAATTTTTTTTTTAGAAACCAACAAGATTCTGTGAACCAGGTACAAAAACAACAAAAAAAACTTCAATAGATAGAATAAAACAATAGATTAAACATCAGGAGACATTACATTGACTTTCCCGCAGTAGGAACAAAGACAAAATCATTTTCTCAAAAGGATAAAAAAATAATTATCTTAATGGTATTACTATAAGTAAAGACATCTAAGAATAGAAATTATAATTTAATTATCACACACTTGATTAACAACGATAGTAGAAAATGTCATATGACTGCGTTCATACATATCGAATAACTCGACATTTTCTAACTTATCCTAAGAAACAATTGTATCAAACTAACGAATCCAAGAAAAAGAAAACCACATCTGTCATACATTATATTTGAAAATAAGCTGATAAAGAACACTAATATTTTGTACAAGTATAAATGGAATATAATTGTTTTTCAACTGACAACCTTCGAAACGGTTGTTTTTTTATGCTAGATGAATTTATTCAATGTTAACTAATGCCTCACATTTCTTCTCACTTTGACTGTAAATTAAGAATAATTCATCATGTTTTATATACTATAATATTTTATTTTGCCATAAATAACCTTCTCGTGTCAAATTTTTTTGTTATTCAATATCTATTATTCTAGCATATTATTCTAAAATATACCCTTGATATTTAAATGAAAATAGGCATGTTTGTACATATATAAAAGTGAACCTTTATACTTTTTTATTTGTTTGTATAAGACACTGTATCAGACACGAATAACATATGTACACACACATCCTGTTTTAATAATCAATATGTACGACATCTATATTAGCCAATACGTATAGAATAGTCGTGTCTGTCATAAAATTAGTGCTTCGAGCACAATGAGAAGTAAAAAAATAAAAAATAAACTGTGCAAAGAGAGAAAAAATTATCTATAAGAATGGTATTAACGTAAACCAATTGTCTAACATAGATCAATTTAATAATCCTTTTTGATCTTATAAAAAATTTCGAAGGACTGATTGTATATTTCTACTATAGTTTTTTTCTCACACACATAGATATATACATAGGCCTAGAAGTTCATTTCAAGAATACTTTCATGTCTTTGAGGAAAAATGTTGTCTGTGATAAAATGTGACGAGATTTTTTTTATTCTTCTATCATACATACACTCACCTTTCTTCTTCTCTTTTTCAAAAAGTAACTATGTTAACTAACCATCACTGTTACAACCAATATTCAAGAAAAATTAAAAGAAAACTATTCATCAAACGTATGATTCTTTTTTTTCAATCAACTCTACTCATGTATAGTGAGAAAAGCCCCTTTTCCTTGTCATCATCATCATCATCATCCTCATCTCTTCTTTCTTTTTACAATATTTCTTAAATATAATCGCATTGCTCTGTGATCAAATAGCAGACTTTCACTTACAAAAAACAGAACATATTTTTTGGCATCGATTTTCTTCTCTCTTTTTTTTTTTTATTCAGATAAGCCGTTGGAAGAAATATATACTAGAAAAATTTTGCTAAGAATATGGAAAGAAAAGAAAGAGAGACAAAAGATGGAATGAGTCAATATACAGTATTTTGTGGTTATTATTAGAATCGTACACAATCATCTCATATCTTGCGGTTATGTTATTTTATATTTATCTTGAACACAACACAGAACATATGACGATGATAAATATCTCGATTAAAAACTGACAAACAAAAGAGATTGTTCAAAATAAATACTTTTACATTAATATATATATATATATTCATGTAATTGGTATTAACGACATCGAGAGATAAATATTTACGATTAATTTGATCAAAAACCATAACATAGACAGAAGTGTTCAATTTTTCCTAATGTTTTTCATTCTCATAAAAAATATAAAACTTATGTCGTCGTTTTTTACTTAAAAATAGAACATATGATAAAGTTGATAGTTAATAGAGAAGTTTCGTACCTTATTTTTTTTTGTACAATTAAAATAAAATGACTACCAGTTGTTTTTTCTCTCGAAAAAACGTTTTCGTTCTATAACAAGTATCCTTGATTATATTGGTTTTTCTTTCAGTTTTGCACTTCAATTCAATGCTGAACAAAAAAACATACAGGAAGATTTTCTCTTGCTCTCTTTTTCTTTTTCTTTTTTTCTTTTCCTCTTAAATAAATTGACTAGACGTACATTATGAATATTTACCTTGAATGATAAAGATAAATCAATAAAAAAAAAAAAGTTTAGAAAATAGAATAATCTAGAACTACGAATAATGATACAACCTAGGAGAGAAAAGAATCTTACTAGTGTTAGTTTAACTTTTCTCGAATTATGTACGGTATTTTTGTACATCAATTATTGTTTTTCTCTTTACGATTCGTACCTTCTTTGATAAGTATACGTGCGTAAAAAATCGCTCTACGGAATAACTGATAATATCGAAGAAAACCGGATATTATTAAGGTATATGGTATATTAAAAAACCGGCGATAAATTAAAAATAATATAAGAAGTCGAAAATCAAAAAAATATTTGATACTATTCAATCGTTCTATGAATAAATGTATTTGTTTGACAAGCAAGAATGACTTTGAATAATTGTCCTATTAAAATAACAACAAAAAAACAAAATTTGTCTAATATTACACGAAAGACAAATAACAACACAACAATAGATTCATAGTAAAAAACTTTACAAAAAAAATAAATTATTTTAAACATTGTGTTTTTTAGCTCTTCTAGACGTCTTGAATTTTTAAGATTTGCACAAATGAGACGAGAAATCAAATGTTGTGAGTAGCTAATGATTTAATGGAATGTAATCACCGTCAATACAAAAATCAGCATTTTAACATAATGAGAGTTTTAGTTGTATAGTTGGATGTGAAATGTTTCGTCACATGGAAACCAATAATAAAATGCTATTGTTTGCCCCGTCCAATAAACATAAAACCAAAACCATCTTTAAGTTGATCGAATAAATGGGAGAGAAATACATGAGTATAAAATAGATCTAGAGTAACAAAATATATATTACAACAACAAAAGAGAAGATTTTCTATACATTAAAAACATACATAAATAAACCATAAGTGCGAATATATATGTTGATTCAAGTCCTGTAGCCATTGTATGAATCAATCGAATGTTATAAACAACGTGATAATAATTAATTACATATTGATAATTGATCATTAGTTCAGGGGTCAGAGGTGCAGAATCTTACGTTTGCGCAACCGGCCGGTTGTGGAAAAATTTTGAAAAAATGTCTTTACTGTGGAAATTTATGGGAAATCGTCGACACTAGGAAAAATTTTTCGGTTCTGGAAATTTTTGGATTTTGTGTAAGGTTCTGCACCTCTGTCAGGAGTATACATAATTAAACATTCTTCTCTAGATAAAATGATAGCGATATGTTAGTTATGAAAAATACTGTTACATATTAACGTTTACCTATCCGTTGGTGTCAAATCAAGTAGTCATCTAGGATCAATAAACATCCATGGTATTTCAATAAGCATTCCATTTGGAGTTATCACTATAGAAGGAAAAAAAACATCTTCAAATCTTTTACTAGCTAGGTCATCTCAATAGAGTCAAGTCGTAGAAGAGAATCAGAAAAGTGATAGAGATAAATATCGTTTTATTAATACCCTTGAACTCATGATTTAAATTAGTATTTAGTTTGTTTAAGTGTATAAGTTCTACAACACAGACTACAGACAACTCCAGAGATGTCTCAAGTAAATGTTGAACTTAAGATCATGTTCCAAACAAACAAAAGTCAAAAAGCAAACTTAAGATTTTGGATTAAACATCACAAATTAAGTGAATAATTAATTAATCAATCATTTAAGTGTAAGAGCTCCTCAAGAATATTGATAAAATAATCTCCTGTACTTATTCTTACTGGTTATATCTTTTGCAGTTATTCCTTTTTCTGTTGTTGTCACCTGGATGGCTGTCATACCATATGATAAAATATAAGCGTTCGCTTCTGCTATTGGTAATATTGGATCAAAGGATAAAAATGATGAAAAATTATATTGGGTTAAACCTTCAAATAATGCTACATTCACAGTTTCATTCAATACGTGTACTAAAAACGTTCTTCATTGATTTCTTGTTTTATTGATAGTTAAAATACATACTAGAATCCAATTTTCTGCTAATATCACATATACAGGTGTTTTAATTCTTTTATGCGTATGATCTAACTTTACTGATCCCGTGACGGTATCGAGCAAATATAAATTCACAAATGGCACTAAAAAGACACCAACAGATATAACTATAGAAAATGTTACATAAGAGTATAGATAAGTACCTTTCTGATAATCTATACCTTCTGTAATGATAGCAATCAGATGTGGATTAACATATTTGTACAAAACACTTCTATTATGTAACACAATTTAATTTGAATGAACACGGTCTAAATAATATAAAAAGTTTATAGATTATTGTCCAGAGAAGGTTCTCTTCAAGAATGTTTATTTATTTTACCTGTACTTAAACGTGTATGAATATTAACAATATTTTCATTCTTCAGACTTCTTGTAAATCTGTCGACTAAACGGAAAAATAATAGAAATAATAAATAAATCTTGAGAAATAATTGTTTTCTTACCGTTTATTCATTGTCATTCACCGTCGAATGGTAACCATTGAATCCTTGTTCCGTTTTATCGAATAGGTAAACATACGTTGGTGTTGTTGTTTCTATTGTATGTGGTGATGAAACGTTTGGAAATGTATGAACCTGAATAATGCAAAATAGAAGACTATAGAACTGAAAAAGATAAAGTAATGATTCTCATACTTTATTTGTTTTATCAATTAATATGAATACTTTTCGAAACTCATCAACGATCTGTGGTGATAAGAAGACTCAACGAATTTGATATGGTAATGTTGTACAAAGATTCATTACACTGTCACCTATATAAGGATTAAACGTTCTATTTGACTATTTTGAGATTTCTAAAAAAAAGAAAAAGGAATGAACATTTCTGTTCTTACGTTAGCCATAAATATAGCGACACTCAACTGTATTGCAGGAAATTATCGAGATACACCGCCTCCTAGTCCAGTTATGTTTGAAAATCGTGTATCGCACAGTCAGACATGGTATACTGGGCAACCTCAAATGGGCGGTGGAATGTACTGTACTTATCTACCACAGAAAAATTACTTTATGTTTACTGAACATTGAACACTTTAATCTGATATACTTGTATTAGTTTAAATTCTTCGCTATGTTTTTTTTTATTGTACGCTAACTATCATGTAATAAATCACTAAAATTTATTGTTTTACACAACAAATAATCAAGTATGGATAAGTTTTCTTTGTACTTCGACGAGCCAGACGCTTTTCTTTAAATTAAACAACGGTCTCCTTCTGTCACTTTGTTATTCATACATCAGATAGTCTGAACAAAGACGTGAACAGGGTTCTACTTCTGTATCATCAGAGAAATAAGCGAAAATTTTTTGTATTGTTTTCAATACTCAAAGGCATATAACTATCCTTGAGTGTTTTAATGGTAGAAGTGATAAAGATGATCATACTCACATATTTTGCGTGTTTCTAAATTTAGCATAGCCAGAACATTTTCACTTGTTGATACAATCATTCGATTTGTGATCGGAGGTTGATAAGAATCTTGAACAAAACCAACATATTGATGGTGCCTATAGAAACAAAAACACATATAAACAATATAGTCACATCAAATAAGGAATGCCTAAATTATACTTCGATTCTTTTCTCCTATATATGCGTAACTTGGATTTTTCTGAAAAATGTAAATCTGTAACTTTTTGTGCTGTTTTCTCGTCTTTATATCTTTTGAACGAAAAAATGCTCGATGCTCGTTGGGATGTCTTATTTTGCGAAGAAAAGTGTGTTTTACAAAATGGCCTATCTCAACGCCCTAGGATTCTTGGCTATGGAAGTACATCAACGAAACGTAGATATTCATTGTTTAAAAAAAGTTTTTTAAGAGTAGTGTTCAATGTTTTTGCAATATCTCCTTAATCAACAATCCTAGAACGCTGAGATATGCCATTTTATAAGACACATTTTTCTTCACAAAATGAGACATCCGAAAGAGCATCGAGCATCTTTTCGTTCAAAAAGTCTAAAGGCGAGAAAATAGCGTAAAAAGTTACGGATTTTTGCGCCAGTTACATAGAATTACCCATGTCTCTTCTTCAAGACTAGAGGAATTTTTTTCTGCAAATTATACCCTTAAAAAACTCAAACTGAGTACGAAGTGATAGATATCCATCAAATTTTCCAATTTGATCTTCAAACAAGCCACATACATTTGATAATTTCATCATAGGACATGATACAATTAACAAATTCATCTAAAACAGATAAGGAATAGCAAAAGCAAGCAGAACGGTAAATGTTTATTGATTCTTCTTCAATCTGATTATGGCATGAAGATTTTGCAAATAACCTGGCCTCCGACTGTAACTTTTTAAAAAAGAGGAATTTAAGTGAAAATGAGGAAAAATAGAAGATCCTGAGAAATTCAATTTAATAATTCTTTGCGAATCAAAAATGACATAAAACCATCGCCCTTTTTTCCATTTTATGTTATAAGACGACTTTTTGCTTTCAATCAATAGACAGCATACGACTTTCATCATCTACTAAGCTAGTTTAATGAGGGAAATTAGCCAAAAATAGAAATACAAATGTTTACACATGCTGTTTAGCATTATCAAAATAAACCGTTACCTAAAGTTCACTGTTCTTCTTATCTAAAAAACCTTAACAAGAGTTGTCAGAAGACAATAAATCGAAGTTATTTTTCTCAAGAAAATTCATCGTTCATTTCACACTGCATTTAATAGAAGAAGAGATGAGAATTAGTAATTACGGTGAAGAGATCGCCGAGATGTTCAACAATTTCCGCTAACAGTTTTTGTTCTTTCTACAAACTTTTGGTAAGTTTTGTCAGGTTTTTTCCGACATTTGCAGAAAAAGGAGGCAAAAGAGGACGAATCGAAGACCAGAAGATAACGTATCGTTGTAAAGTTGTTAATTACTGATTGTATAAATTGTGCGTAATTTATTTTTGAAGGCTCTCGAGTATCTTCTCTTCCTCCATATTATAATAATTATAATAATAATAATAATAGTTTAATATGGGCGTAACGCAATTATTAATTTTCGTTCAGTTAGAAGATCTTCTCTTCCTGTTTTAGAGCCGTCTGATCAGCGGATTAACTTTACAAAATTCTTCACAACGAAAGAAGAGCACTTTTAATCAAAAATTGATCTTTATTTAACATGATTTTGTTTTTGAAAAATAAAACAACAACTTAGTAAAGAAACAAAAAAACCATGTGAAGAATTCTTTCATTGATTGACGTTGTTGTTATTAGTTTTGTTTGAATTCATCACTTGTATTTGTTTATTGTTCTTTTATGATGTACTTTTTGTTTTAGGTTTAATTTCTTTTACATTAAGTCCCGGTGGTAATGACTGTTTGACTTTTTCAGCTTTTTCTTTATCACTAACAATCACTGAAAAAGAAAGCAGCAACAAAAGATAAACATATTATGAGTGACGAAAAGTTCTTTTTTGTTTTAGCATACATGTATAAAGATATCGACTACAACGTATTTTAAATTTTGTATTTCCACTACGTGTGCCATGCTCAGGATTACGTTTTATTGTAACAGATTTAGCATCTTTTCGCCGAGCAAATATCAAAAAATCTTTAATATCCTTGATTTCTTTTGGCATGTTTCTGTTCTTATGGTTTTAAACAAAATTATGTATATCTAAAACGAAAAACACAAAAACTTATCAGATTTAGAGAATAATTTTATTTAAATGAAATTATCCTGAAATTCGCAAACCTGTGAAGAATAATATTTTAGAATATCTCCAACCTTAAAGCAACACCTCAAATTTTAATGTAACCTATAGAAAACTTTAGAGCTATTTTGCATGTTTCTATCCTGCCGGAGGCTCTGAAAAAATTATGTTTGTTATATGGTTAGAACTATAAAGGCTTTAACTGAAGTGCTCAACACACGATCATACAGAGAGAAGAATCTGAAAAATCTGATAGTACGCAGGATTACCACTAACAACGAAGATTTCCATGCGTCCTCTTAAGAATATACTTTATTTTATAAATTGTATGATTAATTACGAATCTGAGAAACCATAAGTGCTACTATCAAAACGTTAAAAAGCTAAACCCGAACATGTTTTACTACTACATTCTTTCATACTATAAGGATCTTTTTTGTGGTGCAGAGGGTGAAAATGTCTGTAGGAATAGCTTTTTAACCTTTTGATAGCAGCACTTATGATTTTCAGATTCGCAGTTAGAGTCATAGAAGTAATAAACAAAGGAATAATTATAATGACCATAATTTTACATTAGATGTTTTTGAAATACAATTGTGTGATACCACTCTTCACATAAATCAGCTTTCCCTTATTACCAGCATGCTTAATGCAGATCCTATACATATACTGTTGGTGCGAATGTAGTGTATGTATATAACGACAACCACACAAACTAAAGACTCAATCTTACTGACAATTGGTTCACGAGAATACCGATTTTTATCGTAGCACAGAGCCTCAACCCGCACCCTTCTCTAATTTACGTGAATATCAGAAATAACGTATTAAATATACACTGATGATCACTTTAGGTGCGAAGACTGAATGTTTTTTCGACAAATACCAAATATGAACTTCAAAGAGGACCTTTGCTTAAATTTCAAAGGATCAGTCTTTCCTCCTATCAAAAGCGAATCTGTAAAATGGCACTAGCGTCTTGCCTATACACTGTCTCGAAATGTTACGGTAAATGTGTAACAATATCATGCTAAAAGTGTAACAATGTTACAGTAAAAACCGGGTATCATGGTTTTACCGTAACATTGTCACATCTTTAGCATGATGTTGTTATACATATAGTATGACACAAAATAAAACGTGACATCACTACACTTTTACTGTGTCAACAATGTTACACTTTATCTACGACGCTGCCACACTTTTATCTTGGCATGATCTCCAGTATGACATTTCTACACTTTTGGCGTAGTAGTGTCATACTTTTAACTTAATCGTTGGAAAGCTTCTTCGTTTTATTATGATTCATCGCTGCTTGTTGCTGGTTAATCTAATGTTATGTTATTTACATTTTATTTTGTGTTTTTATGTCGACAGACGTTATGAGCTTTTGTAGGGAATTTTGTTTTTTATTTTCTGTACGATCAGTTTTTGTGCGAAATATGAATGCGATGATCCAGTGAGCTACACGTTATAGAAAAGTTTTAAAAACACGAATGTATTCTAGACACTGAAGATTGACCATTGATTGCTCGTTTATTTCAAACTGATTTGGAATCAGTGTCATAAGGTCCAAAAGTGGAAGAAACAAGTGTCAAAAACTTGGAAATTTTTCAAATAATATTTTTGTCCGGCGCCATTTAGTAAAAAGGAAAAAAAAAACTTATTTTCGTTCATTTTTCTGTTTAATTCAATTCTATCTTTTCAGCTGCTCGATAAGAAACTAACATTGAAAGCGGCGTAGTGAAATCTGCTTGCTGTGGAACGGCTTTTGGCAGTTGCCAGCAGAGACAGAATCTGTTGACATCGCAACATTTGCGCAGCGCAATTGCAATCTAGTTTCTTGTGTGCTGTTGCGCGCGTTTTTTTCAGATTTATTAAAGGTAGAATTGTAGGATCTTTTTCTTCCTTTGCTGTTATTATTGTTTTAAAACTTATCATCTTCGTTTTAAAAAACAAAAGAAAATTCATCATTGTTTTCTTTAGTTTTGGATGTTATACTTACGCTGTCAATCTAGAAATTAATGAATGGGCACAAGTCTACCATACGAAAAATATACTGATGGCTAGGGATGCGATCCTGATTGATTTCACGTTAAGTGTACAAAAGAGATTGGAAACCCAGCTAGAGCAACTGTATCTTAGATCAATTTTCTCTACTTTTAAGCTCTGGCAAACCCGTGGTTTCAGTGCACTAGCGACGATATCGTGTAGAACGTTTTAAAAAAAAGGAAGACACATTGAGGAACAAGTTAAGCTCGAAATTAAATAGGAGTTCGGAGATACTTGACAAGTCATTGTGTTTCCTACGCTGTTGAAGTTTACGATCGATCACCTCCCCATCGATCATAACAATACCATTCATAACACTAAAAGTGTAGCAATGCCACGCTTTCCTACCAGGCATCAGTCTTAGAAAGTGTGTTATCATAACACTAAAAGTGTAGCAATGCCACACTTTTATACAGGGAAAACGTCTGATATCTTCCAAGTTTTATCCAGCCAATAGAAAAGCGATATCACAGTTTAAGTGTGATTTTTGGTATCCCGAGTATGTCATTGTCACAGTAAAAGTGTATCATCATCGTCTTATTGGTAGTTGTATTCTGGACGATAATGACACACTTTTACCGTGACTTTCTAATAGTTTTGCCGTTATTTTTTACAGTGTATAGAAAAGACATAGTCAAGACGTTAGTTTCGCGTATGGCATGTAGGTTGTGTTCCGTTAGCCGTCAGGAACCACTTTCTACATGAAAGGACGTAGAAAGTAACTCCTGACGGCTAGCGAAAAACAACCTAACATGCAAAGCGAAGCTGATGGCTTTCCAGCTGAGCTTGTAAAAGCATTCAGCAGTTGTGCGACAAACAGCTCATAAAGCTTGAGGGGAAAACATCGAATTTTCACCAAGAAAAATGAAAATATGAAATTTTCGTCTATTTCAGTGGAATTTCCATGTTTTTCCTTCAAATTTTCACCTTTTCCTGTGAAATTTGCAACTCTTTCCTTCCAAGTTTCATCTATTTCTGTGACATTTTCATCTTTCGTTTTCAAAGTTTCACTTTTTCAGTGAAATTCTCATCTTCGCTTATGGAATTTTCCTATTTTTCCTTCTAATTCTGATATTTTTCTATGGAAATCTGAAGGAAAAATATGAATGAAAAGGATGAAAATGTATTGCAAAAGATGAAAGGACCTAGATGAAAAGTTCACAGAAAAAAGTCAAAATTTGCAGGAAAAAGATGACAATTTGACAGAAAAACATAAAAATTCGTCGAGAGATGGTTGACGTCTCACTTTCTTCAAAATCTGATGCTTCTTCAGGCTGTCTAGTCAACACTGCGTTTCGGATTTGGGAGTTTTTTGAAAAACCGGATTTGAGAATTTGACCTGTTGCACAACTTTTTCTCAGAAGTTTCTCACGCCATGGGAAGGAGCATCAAAAAATAGGTCTGCAGATGAAATCTTTATTTGTTTCAAGCTTTTCTTTAGGAGTAGCAGAGAAATCATTTGTAGATGGTAGGGGAATTTGCGGGATTTTCGAACTGAATTTGACTTTTTGATGCTTTAATGTAGCCATATACAGTTTTGGACGTGATATTTTCAAAGAGCCCTTCTTTTTGCATATATCTAGCAGCTTCCTACAGTTTCAAAGTAAGATTTCTGCCTTCAGCGGGCCGGCTTCTACAGAAGATTATAAATCACGTTCAACCATAAACAAATTTCTTTCTCGGTTTCAGAAGGTTTCCATGCAAAATAAAGGGCATATTCGTAATAAGCGTGAAATTCTGCATCGGATCGTGGTTTGCTCTTTCCATACTATAATTGCTGTCCCACCACTCGTCAGTGACCATCTGAAAGAACTCGTTGACTTCGTCCTTGTAGACAGGATATCCATCAACTACTTCTTTTACAGGATCAAGGTAGAGTATGTCGAGATATTCAAGAAACTTTCCCACGTGTTCTGGAGTGGGAACATGTCGATCTTTGATATTGGTCGCCATTTGATCATTTTTTCGATCGTTCAAATAAAGAAGAATTGAATCAAAAATTGATCTTTATTTAAGATGATTTTGTTTTTGAAGAATAAAACAACAATTTAGTAAAGAAACAAAAAAACCATGTGAAGAATTCTTTCATTGGTCTAAATACAATTATTTTTGTTTTGATCGAGAGATAAGTAGTCTGTTTTTGTATTCACGTATGTTTTAAAATCTTTTCATATCTTTTTTTTATCTAAATTTCTGTGTTCTCATGCCCTTTTCGTTCCATTTTTACTTCTTAGACAAGAAACGTTGTTCAAGTACATAAAACAACAAAATTTGATGAGTTTTCTGAGTGAAAAAGTAAAGTTCGAATTATTTTTTTCCAAGCATGACATATGGACTTTTTTTTCAGCAAAAATCTGTTCAGATGTTAAATATCAGTCGGAAGCATCGTAAATATACATATCATATATGATGATAATAGGGCAAATTGACAGAAGAAAAGCTATAATTTAGTTCGTAAAGTGATTAGAGAAAATGATCAACTTAATTCTGCAGACTGAAACACGCAAAAAATTGAAGCATTTTGAAAAGAAATTTTTCTAGACCACGGCTTTTTTCAAGGGCTTCTTAGAAAAAATGTCAGAGATACAAAATACGTTTCAATAGCAATTTTTTGAAGTTTCATCCAAGTGTTATAGAATCAAGAGACAATGAGAATGAATAGGTACCACTAATTTTCATCAAAGCTTATTCTGCTTAAATATTAAAAAACAGGTATATCATTATCGAAGTCACGATAAAGTGCAGCAGTGCCACGGATAAGTATGTTGAGGCTATGGGAAATGCCTATCGTTGACTATAGCAGTCTAAACATCAATTCTTTTATATTGTGGCGCATCGTTAGGACGTTCTACCGTGGTGTTCCATTAATTGCTCTTTGCTGTTTTGGACACAGATATTCAACAGGAAAAGGTATATTGAAGATATTTTTTGATAGAAACGGGCTCGCGTATGTTCAGGAACTAAAATAAATTTCTCAATTTATAATGTCTTTAGCACTTCAGTTAGAAATAGCTCTTTAAACTTTGCAATGTAATAGAGCCGTTGTACTCTTGATTCATCGTTTGTTTTTGCGATTTGGTAGAGATACTTTGAATTTTTAGCTCAAACATAACACGCAAAATGAACGTTGATATAATGTGTAATCATTTGTCGAACAGAAACCTCTGTTCATTTTGAAATTTTACCTCAATAACTATTTTCTAAAATAAATGCTCCCCTTCATTACTTAATTTGAATTTATAGATTGATAGATGTACCTCATTTAACATTATACTTGTTTGCTGTGCAAATATAAAAAATAGAAACGTGTTAAACGAAAATGAATAACACCTATCTTTCGCATAAATCTTTGTTATAGACATGGCTTGTTGTTTTCAGTCATTATGCACTTTCATTAGCTATGAATCGCTCGATTTTGTAAACTTCAAAAACATCCACTCCAATGTATTCCGAAAATCCAACTTTCAAATTCGAAAGAAAAATTTTCAAATTTTCAAATTTTCTGAAACTAAAGTCAATCAATGAATATCAATATCACGATATTGACATTCATCACGATCCGTTTGTTTATACCAAGGTCGTCGTGTCATACGTGAAAGTCAAAAATGGAAGTGCACAACCTACTTTCCGCCAAAAAGAGAAAGTAACGATTTATTTTAGTTGTTTTTCTTTCAGAAGCGCAAATATACGTGTCAACAGCGAATTTGGTCCAATCTCGTACGTTAATACACGTGCAAAATTGGTGGTTGAGGAATTGTAATAACTTATTTTTTCTTTTGCTGTTGTTATAAACTTTTCTTCTTTTGTGAATATTAGGTAAATGTTGGGTGAATGACTTTCATTAGTTTATTGAGTGATAATCCACTGGTTATAGCTCAATCTTCCCTAACACTCATCTCTTTTTACAGAATCGGTGGATTTTGGTATGGTCATCTGCACACTCTTTCCTTCGTAAAAAATGAGCCCTTTTCTCTTACATTTTCTGAATTCTTGTAAGCATATAGTTTTTTTATTTCATTCTTGTTCTTTGTCTTTATATAGCACATTCCACGTATGAACATATTCATCTGCAGCATCGTTCGTGCCCGAGTGTAAACTCGCCATACAAATTAACAGCTTTTCATCGTGAATAAAATAACTTTTACATTTTTCACCATTTAACGCATACGAATAGATGTAGTGAACATCGCCTAAGCGATCATAGCCCACTTGAGCATGATGTCTTAATATACCAGTAATATAAGCATCGCCAACACGCGTCACAGGATGTGGCGTGTTAGCAGCTGCACATAGTTCATCTCGACCAGCCCTCGTCATTAAATAACCGATTCCAAACGTATAAAACGGGTAATAAAACTCACCATATTCCTCTTCGGTAACAATATATCGACCGGTACGATCTACTCTACTTTTATATCGAAACCAACCGAACATCATTGGTATACTAGGTAACGACGAATTTTGAAATAATTTCTCGACGATTTTCGCTAGTAATGGTGTATTTAAATGAATATCTTCATCGGCTTTAAAAATATAATTAACTGTTGGACAATGTTTTATGGACCAACAAAGTGAAGCTAGCTCTTTGTATGAAACAATTGGATAATTTTCGGGTAATGTTACTTGTACAACATCTAAAAATAGAAGTTTGAGATCGCATGTTGATGACCTACTTGAAAAACAAAGAGCTGTTAGACTTACCATGATATATTGATTGCTCAATTTCAATTTGTTTTAACATTGCATCATCAACACCAACAAGAAACATAAGTCGTACTTCAATACTATTATATGTTCGCAATGCCCCCCACGTTTGACGAATGGCTTCACGAATATGAGCGTTTGATGAACGCGATAGAATGGTAATTAATAGTGTTCTAGCTGGATTCAATTGGTCACACGGTGATATAGCCGGATTTTTAAACCCTAAACGTTTATGAACTAAATACAATGGTGATCGCTCATTTTTGATCGATGAATATTCAGGTTGACTTTGTCCCTTTGAACCAAACCTTTTCGATGTTTTTTGATCATCTTTGGGGGTGTAATATAACATGATTAGTGATGACGATAATAAAACAAGTGTGACTAGAATTTTAACACAATTAGACGTAAAAGCTATTTCTATCATTCTTGATAAAATATATTTTCAATATATAGAATATTTAATGTACAATATGAGAAATTTTAAGCAATAAATTGCATATTTAATGTGTGATTAGATAAGTTTTATATGATATTTTCACCAATTGTAGAACTTGACAATAATTACAATACTAGACATATTTTAACAGGCAATAATAGTATTTCATCTTTAAAAGGATAAAAATCAAATATCTTAATTTGTCGTCTTATATTAAGAGGAAATAAGCGAATATTTATCTTATCAGAATTCCTAAAAGTTTAAAAATAAATTATTAAGCTGTTATATTAGAACAAGTTTAATCGTTTCGCTGCATCGTGTGGGTTTAGATAGTATGGCTTAGTTGAAGGACGTCAGTGATGCATTACATATTTTTTTGGTTTAACGTATATGATACAAAATTAATGGCAAAGCGAATATATTTTGTCCAGATGTACAAAATCTTGTTTTGTTTGCAAGGAGTTTAGAGTATAAAATTTGCATCAAAGAATTACTTTTGTAGCAAAAATTCATTAAAAAAAGTTAAAAACTTATTAAAAGTTATTTGAGTCTTTGCCCTTAAATTGCTTACAGCCTTTTTTTATCTCACATGGCTAAGTTATTGCGCAACGGTGTGTCTTTTCTAAAGGTGGATTATATATTTGATTTTGTTGGTATTCTTATAAAAATAAATGGTTAATGCGTACCTTCCCAGGAGAGATATAATTTCTATGTGTGTGTATTGACCTTATAACTTCGAAAAGTATCATTTTGGACATCATACTATAATTAAATAGTATTGCATCGAACTTTATTGGAATATTTTCAATAGTGAACAGTTACGTACAACAAGAGAGAGACGAAAAGATGATGTTGATATTCATCTAGTTTCAAAAAAATGAGTATTACGTGATGATGATATGGATTCACATGAATACCAGAGTCTATCACATCATTTTGCATATAGTCATCTCAACAGTTTCTTCCCTTTCACCAACATTCTTATGGAAATTATAACTCAGTCACGAAATAAGTTAGGGTTTACAAACCCATATTTGGATCTGTTTAAGACCCCCCTCCCCCTCAGAAAATCTGATTTTTTAGCTTTGTATCTGATTGGACAGCCCACATTTTCTACTTTCGAACGCACTATCATTTATTGATTTTACGATGATTTTTGAAGGTTTACAGAGTTTTTTTTCTGAAACACCCATAATCAGAAAAGTGGTTTGCACGCTTCAGTCATTGAAGTCTCTTGAGCTTCTTTATGGGTTTCCGACACGGAAAATATGACCAGTATATACCGGCCAATGCGCGTCGTACATCCTTGCACTCCCTCCGAATGACTTTTCCGTATACCGTTTTATGAAGAAAAAAACTTGAATTTCAATGTCAAAACTTGTTTTGCGTTTTTCTCGACATGCATTTTTCTGTTTTTACCTGTTCGTGCGTCAAAGATTTCTCGGCTATTTTACATGCTAGAAGGCTCGTGTTGATGTCAAAATGTAGCCAACACTTGCCGCTATAACTTAACAGAGCCGGATGTTTATTTCCGGTTTAGAGTTTTTGAGAAAAATGAGTTTTTTCCCTGGTGTAGCCCTAATTTTTTGGATTTTTTGGAACACACTTTCGCCAAAAATGAACAAACAAAGTTTTAAAAAATCGGGCTCTGTTAAGTTGTAGTGGTCAGTGTTGGCTACATTTTGACACCAACCGAAATCTCTATCATTAGATTTGGAGAAATCCTTTTCACACAGACACCTACTTTTTGATCCTTAATGTTAGAATAACTCTTGAACAACTCAATATTTTGCGTTATTTTGCGTTAATTTGTTGATTAATATAATAAAACCGAATAGTTCTAGCAATCAACTCAACATGCTATCAATGCTATTATGATGATCTCACATTCTGCCTTGAATGTACGTGCAATACCAAAGATGGATTTTTGACAAAAGTAACTTTTAGAAAACATGTGAAACACCACGAAAAAGTAATCTAAAATTCTTAGGATACATTAATCCGATGGATAGTTCGCGTGTAGTAAAAAAACGAACTATCATCGAGTGCGAGCGCATGATGATTTTCAAAATAGAGTCAAGACGTAACGAGCCGAGACGTCACATTCTAAAAATAGAAATGTTATTCTGATAGTTAAATTCTGGATAGAGCACCGCACTGGATTTCAAGCGTTATTTGTTAAAAAACGCTCCTCAAGTCAACTTTTACACTGAACTCGTGGCGTGATTCCACTGTCGCGGCCATGGTTGCTATGATTTCGCGCCCGACACTTCGTGATTGGTATGGACTCGTGCTGTCACATCGCGATCATGCTAGGATGTTATTTTTTTCAAAAAATATTAGTCATGATTCACGTTAAGAGTTTTTGACACGACACGATCCTAGATAAGTCCTAGAACTCACGATTTGAGTCCCGCCCGATCCAGAGTTCATTCACCATTTTGTTTTACAGTTGACCTTATATAAAAGAACGAAAGAAACATTAGAATTTTACTTAATTTTTTGTTCTAAAGTTTAGTTTTTGGATCAAGAGTCGCATTCCCGATTGAAGGAAGACGACTTTCTCAAAAGTTATCAAATAGAAAATTTCTAAAAATAAAAAAATTATGTTCAGGACTATCGTCAGTCATACCGCGAAATAGATCTTTTGCTCTAGAATCGGTATACGAATAGTCATTAGGTTAGACAGATGTGCAGAATCTCTACCCGTGAGATTAAGAAATTTCCGACGACGACAAAAAATTATCATAAAATTTTCCCGGTATAAAACAGTGGAAAAGTACAAAACAGTGTGATTGTATTGATGCTGAAACCACCGTCTCTGCTTAAACACACATGCCTGATGCTAGTATTTTTGCTGCTTGTTCTTGCTGTAAATAATTTAAAACAATTGAAGTAGGAGAAACTAGTTTCTATTCTTAATACTGTTCGCTCTTTTTGTAAAACAACCGTTGTTTATCTTTTAGTTGACTAAAATGATTGAGTGATTGTTTGAAATATGCTCTTGTGTTTTATCTTTTCTACCATGTAACTGTTTGTTTACTTGGAAATGCACTCATCTCTAATTATCAATCATAATATGTGTAAACGATCGAAAAAGACTAGTATATCCATACGAAATAGATAATAATAATAAATCAAAGAGTAGGTGGTTTCATTATAGATAGAGTAAGACTTTAATTAATACAGAAAACGCTATTCAAGGTATAATAAGCAAGAAAGTAACATTTCAATAAAATTTTCTCGAATAAAAGTATTTTCTCTTGATGACCGTCGGAGCACACGGGGAGATTCTGCTAAGAATATAGAATATCGATCCTAAGAGCTAGCCTAGAATTCTACGGGATCGTACCGCGATGCCAAGAGTTTTGAAAAACTCGCTGCTACAACACAACAAAACTGCGATCACCAAAATCGCGACTCTTATCTTGGTGAGGGTCATGAGTTTACCGTGAAAGTTGACATGGGCCTGTTTTGTGAGTTTTCAAACTAAACGTTCTGTTCAATGGAGAAAACTCTTTTCTTCCACCACAGCAAATTACAATATTTTAATCGGAGAACTTGAGTCATAAAGAAAATATACGAGATACGACTACTTCCTAAATGCGCGCGCTCAAAGCCAATTAGTATAAAAGTGGTCGCAAATTGGAACGAGTAAAGTTACATTGGTGTGCGTTTTCGAACAGTGACCACTTTTTTATTAATGAGTAATCAACAATCGTAATTTGAAATATAGGTATATAAATTGGTCGCTTTCTAGAAACAATAGAGTACAATAGAAGTAGAAATATAACGTCAGTCGTTGTACAGAATATAGATACGGAAGAATGGATTTAGTTTTGCAGTTTACTGTAAAGCTAAGTTCATGCGTTCGAATCTCTATTCGTACAAAATTGATTTTGTGTTTTTCGATAGTTTTAGTTTAGAATACATAATGGAATATATTGCGCTTGTGTTCTGACAGAATAAAGCTTATATTATATCAGAAATATATATAATAAGAATTAGTGACTATATATTTATGGATAATACGCAGCTATACTAAAAAAAGCTATATGAACAAAGAATTTAGTCTTCGTCACTACTATCTCATGATGAGATTTTGCAACGGCTAATCAACGACTAAAATATTCTTTTGTATGAAATACCCATTAGGATATGTTTTACTGATTATTAATCAAGATTAATCCTCTTGCTCTAGGAGTTGGTTTCGAGGCTTCCAAATTGAGACCACTTTTTTGATAAAATGTCTTAATTGTCTTAGTTGACATCAAGCAAACATCAGAGGATGAGAGGTAGAGAGTGAGAGTGAGCGCAAAAAAGTGTTCTCAATTCGTAAATATATGGACGGTAATTGTTTTGATCCCGTAAAAAATGCAGAACGGAGCCCGTATACTAAAGTTTCGATAAAAATAGTAGAAATGATCCCGGATTTAGAAAAAAAATATTTTCAAGAGAATTGATCCTGGAATAAACTAATTTTTATATTTATTGTGCAGAATTGATCCCGGAAAACTTTTTTCTTTCTGCGAACAAGAGAATTGATCCCGGTTGACGTGTGTAGTTGTCACATAAGATCCTCTTTTCCAAAGCTCTTCGCTGATTTCTATATACTATATTCAATTCATACTCGCATAGCGGATATTTTCAGTACTGTGAACATTTATATGTAATTGATAAACCACCCATGAATTGTTCAGTTCGATTTTTGCAGATACCTTGAGTTTTGATAAAACTTAATAAATCAGTTTCGTTTACACACGTAAAAACTAATAGCTATGTTTTTCGAGCCATAGTTTGTTTAACAGTGATAGTAATAGTCAAAAGTGATGTGAGTGAAAAAAGTATGAAAAAAGATGTGACCGCTACACATTGCTATTGTTTATGTCTCAACGCGGTCTTTACATTCGCAC